ATCTCGTAGGAGTGAACATTTGACAAAAATGAACAAGAGACTGTTTTTCATATTTAACAATATACTTATGTATGTATATTTGTACCTACCTATATGGTACAAAAGTACCTACAACTCATTTTCGCTATTAAATAAATTACCATTGCGTTTTACGAAGATATAACACATTAATGGTGTGATATTAAGTAAAGATTAATTATTAATTACTAACACTTCGTTGCAGGAGTGAGGATGTAAACTACATAGCGCAAAGTTGCGACTTTCAGGCTTGGTAATCTCCTTAATCTCTTAAGGGATACTCTGACTGATTAGTGTCGGAATCAGTTTGCAAAAACGGCCTGTTAATTAATGAAATATTTTTATTTTGTTTTATAGATACATAAATATCATCCAAGTATATTTCATTCGCCGAATTTATCTAAATAGCAGCGCTCAGTAACATTTTATTGCGAATTTATAGTTAGATACATAAAATGGAATTCAAGCTTTCATACGTTTACATATATAGAAATATTAAAAAGGAAAGTACACTTTGACCTTTAGGAAAATGCTTGAAGTACGACGTAGGTTAAAGGTGAAGTTTTAAATTTTTACATCACGTTTATCGATAGGTTTTTGGGGTTTTATGTGGTATTTGGAATTAAAAAATTAAAAACTATTGTGAAACTCAAAAAATATTGAACAGAAACTTAGGCCACACCAGTGAAATATAATTTAATAAATTGTTTTTCCAGTCAGTACTACAATGTTTACATTTTTTTTTAATATTTTATTTATAAATTGTTTATACTCAAATATCAAATATTCCGATAGTCAGAAAATTATTTAAACTGCTTGGTATGAATTGGGAATTTTTATTTGTTTAGCAGTTAGAAAAGTTCAAACATAGGACTTGTTAAAAAGCTCTATAGACAACTTTTATTATGTTATATGTAGATGGCGACTTAGTATCTTCTCTGCTGTATTTTTCCAAATTGGAGTTTCTACATAAATTAAGAATATGAACTCAGATGAAAAACCAATTTATTAGACCAAAACTCTAGCTTTTCGTTGTGTGATTGAAAGGCTTTTTCAAGAAAATTGTCAAATCAAGAAATAGAGTACAAAATCATCATCTTAGAGCAATAATAATTAATTTAAGAAAGTAATCTCAACAACGTATATTTCAAAACTTAAGAGTAATAATTTAAAAATGTTAATGGAATTAATTGTTTTTAAAATAGTTAAAACTGAAGATATGAAGCATGTTTTTATGTTTATGTTTTAAGTTTTAACTACTGCTTATATGAATTCGCTTTTTTAAATTTTAATTGGACGGTTTTGTTAGTTTTAATTAATAGTCCAGAAAAATAAAAACAATGAAAGTGATGATACACAGAGAAAATGAAAAAAGAAAATTTAGCTAAATATTAAAGCGATATTTACAATTTATCCCAATAGTCCGTTGCTTCGTAAGCGAAAATAATAATAATTACAATTTGAACCCGAATTTGTAAAAATAAAATCCTAGCAGCAATAAATTTATTAGGTATTTTAGTTGATATTACAAATAAAATTTTAATAATTAAGAAACTAAATAATTTCTAAAAAAACGTCAAAATTGAGATTATTACAAGTTATCTAATAAAATCAAGTCACTTTTGTAATTTTTGCGTTATCATAAAAATTTAGTTCTCTCCGCGTTTAAAACAAACTTTTNTGTCACAGTCAATTTTCTTCGAATCTACCCGTGTAAAAATTCAAAATAATGCATTTCTTTCCAAGTGGCAGTTAAGTGGACTCGTTATAAATTGGCACTCTTTTGAGTTCTTTATTATTCCTATATAAAAATTCACTTTGAATGACTTGAGGGTGTAGTATTCAGTATGTGATATTAATTTTAAATTGGATATACTTTTAGCCGTTCCCGAGAAAAAGAATCTTAATAAACAGACTGACGAACAAAAAAAAAACAAAGTAATCCTACAACGATTTTGTTTTTATTTAGAAGTACCAAACCCTAAAAATTTTGTTATTATTTTTGTGACCTGCACATAAAGTACAACCTGAAAAAATTGTTTACATTAGAAAACTGTATTAGGACTCTCAGAATTTGAATTGCGAAACATCTGCGTAACGGTTTATCAACTTCAATAAAAGTGACATTTAATTCAAACCATTCTGCAACTTGTACACAAAACTTGAGTAAATCGCGGAGGATGCCATATATTGAGGAGAACTTTTATGAGATCGCGCAGGATATACTTCCCCATATACTGGTTCGTGAAGGCAAAATAATTTCCGTTGCATTTTATGGATACTAAGCCTGGGAGTTGTAAATAAAGTAAAACCGCATTTAGAAACTTCCAAACTCACGACTGTGCCAGTTTCCAGTATGCAATTCAAACTTGATTGGAAATGAGAATCGAATTTAGTTTTAAAGTACTTTGTGCATGGTTTTCTAAATATATTTTCTTTTCAACGTCCTTTGTGGATGGGATATTCTAACTGTACAGTATATGACAGCAATATTGTTAATTCAGGAAACTAAAATTATTCAAAAAAGTGCAGATTTAAACTGGTTAATTTTTCTCTATATCATCATCATTAAGTTGTCAGTCCTAAGAATGGTTGGATACGCACCTCCACACTTTTCTATCCTGAGCTAATCTTCGCATTTTCCTAAAAGTAGAAGAAATCTCACATCGTTAACTATTTGTGAACAGGAATATAACCTAGGTCTATTTCTACTCCTCTTAACTCGTGCTTCTGCTTCTAATATTTTTCTGACTAGTCCATCATGCCTAAGAAGGTGTCCTACATACCTATCTCGCCCATTTTTAACTTCCATAGATTCCTCTATGTACTTATTATTTCTAATACCTTTTCATTTCTAACCTTCTCTACCCTAGGTAAAAATGTTCAATCTCTCAGAGTCTCTGAAAGTGAGACTCGAGTCTCCATCTCTCATCGAGTCTTTCTGGTGTCGCTGAGGGAGACTCTCGAGAGACTGTCAAAAAAAGTGGTTAGAGTCTCTGAACGAGAGACTCGAGTCGCTCATAGAGAGATCCTCATTTCGGATCCAGTCTCTGAACGAGAGACTCGAGTCGCTCATAGAGAGATCCTCATTTCGTATCCAGTCTCTGAACGAGAGACTCGAATCTCTCAACAAGTGTTGTCTCGATAGACATGGTTAAAATTTTCTAAGTTCAACATATTTCAGAGATCCCAGTCTTTCTACGAGAGACTCGAGTGTCTCAATTTTTCTTTTTTATTCGTTCAGTCTCTCTGTTAGATACTCGAATCTCTGAATTAACAATTTTATCATTCGAGTCTCTTATACAGAGACTGTGAGAGATCCATAAAAACACCTAGGCAATAACTGAGAGACTGTGAAGGACTGTGAGAGACGCTCTCAGAGACGCTGAAAGACTCTGAGAGACTGAAAATTTATGTCTAGGGTCACTATAGATTTTATGGAAAAACTCCTTACATCTTCAAGGGAGAAAACTGAACTAGTTCAATTTCTTATTTATATTATTTTGTAATAAGCAACTATTTATGTTTGATTCCATTAATAGCAAACATTTTGTTTCCACATTTATTTAGTCTTCTTGGGGCATTTTTACCATCATCGATTATTTACTTTTTCACAATTAGTGTTCTAACGGATAAATTACCTTTACGTATTTCGTAAAGTAAGTTAGTTGTAGCACTGTAGGTAAATTTTTCGAAACATTTTGTTTAAGGCGTCCTTTTCCATTCATTCTCGAAAGGAGCGGGGAAATTCGGCGAACACAAAGCAATTACAGTTTTCCAACACGGTGGTAAGTTGTGTCTGCATTTACGTAATCGGAATTAAACTATCGTTTGCTCGTCAGGCTTTCAATAGGTATGCGGCGATGGCAGTGGCTAACCTTTTATTGCATGTTTGTGTGTAACTGAGCTCGTATTCAATTGAAGGAAACGACTTCAACTTTATCGAAAAACGTTTGTTTGGAAAACGAACAAGAGAGATCGACGTGATTATAAATACCCCATTTGCCAGCTCAATCTCATTGAAAGATCGTTGCTTTAAAGATACGGTCGTGGTAAACTGCACCCCTTTGTTTTTCTTACTGTAAAACACAACGGAATTTAAAATAACATCAATCCAATTCAATTCAAATTTACACAAACCTACTAGATTAGTCAAAAATACATATTGTTTCTCGTATTTTCTTTTTAGGGTTAAAAGCTCTATAGACAACTTTTATTATGTTATATGTAGATGGCGACTTAGTATCTTCTCTGCTGTATTTTTCCAAATTGGAGTTTCTACATAAATTAAGAATATGAACTCAGATGAAAAACCAATTTATTAGACCAAAACTCTAGCTTTTCGTTGTGTGATTGAAAGGCTTTTTCAAGAAAATTGTCAAATCAAGAAATAGAGTACAAAATCATCATCTTAGAGCAATAATAATTAATTTAAGAAAGTAATCTCAACAACGTATATTTCAAAACTTAAGAGTAATAATTTAAAAATGTTAATGGAATTAATTGTTTTTAAAATAGTTAAAACTGAAGATATGAAGCATGTTTTTATGTTTATGTTTTAAGTTTTAACTACTGCTTATATGAATTCGCTTTTNCTACCGAATCTGAAAATTTGAAAAAAATACAGAAAATAGTTTTTTACTCATAGATTACAGAAAAATTAATAAGAAGTCTATGGTCTGAACATACTTGTGTGTTTGTCTGTCCTTTTTTTTTAATAAATTCCTTTTCTGCCTTAAATAAGTTTTAATCTCTAGATTTGCAATAGGAGGATGGAGAGCAAAAGAGGTAACCTTGAATTAGAACACCGTATGGTGGATATTCTGAAATACCTCTACTTAAGCTTACCAGTTTTCTGGTCATATTAGTAGTACTAACGAGAACTAATCCATTTTTGATTATACATTATCAATAGCGGTTTATGTGCTGTAGTTTCTGATACTGTATTTTAGTTAGTTAATTGAACAATGTAATTTTTCCAGTCATTTTCTACGGTATCAGACAATCAAGCAACCGTTCTTATACAAGTGTTTGAAGGAGAGAGAGCATTGACTAAAGATAACAACCTCTTAGGAAGTTTTGAACTTACCGGAATACCTCCAGCTCCTCGCGGATTGCCAGAGGTAGTTATTTATTTACATTACTATTTGCAAATTCTGTATTTCATTCAAAGGTACAGATTTTTGTAGATAAAGTAAATACGACTACGTTTCTTTAATAAGGAGTAGGTACGTAAGCAGTTTCATAATTGGCAAAATATTTTCATTCCTATTATTCAAATCTAGCAAAGTCTTTTTAGCTTTTACCCTTAAATTGTAAAAAAAGAAAAATATGTAGAATTTCAGTACAATATTACTTTTTCTGCCTACTTTAGACTAATACGTTTTTATGGTATTACTGCTTTGAAGCTCGTGCTTCTTTATTTTTTTCTATCTGGAGAGTATGAAACAATGGATATAACATTTAATGAATTTACAATTTCAAAAGAATTAATGGTTTTTTTATTCCTTCATATTCTTTTTTTTATATCTGAAAGGATAATTAAAGGAGTTTACCGGCTAAATAAAAGACGACTTCTTTTGTTATTATTATCTGCATATCATTTCTTTTTACAATGAAAATTCCTTTATAATTAATTGTTATACCTTAATGAAAATATTTTATAACATTATCACAAGTATTTCTCTTTTAATATTAATTTGAAAACGATTTCCCTTTTGATAAGTTTAATAAATGGCAGAATTGAAATGTCTTTAATAAATTAAAAGCCTTGGGTTCCTCTCAAAATTTTAATGAAAACCAAGCTTGTAGATGCAGCACCAAACTCGAAAATTTCAGTCGCTTTCAAATGGACAAAGATAAAACTTTCCGTTTTGTATATCAAATGCTAAAAGCATGTTAAAATGAAGTTATTAAAAGCATATTCGACACAACAAAATTACCTAGTCATTGGATTTTCATCCACTTATGATAGAAAGCAGAGTTAAAATTAGTCAAATATTTTTATAATCAAGAAATAATAATAATAAATTAGAAAAACGTGTTTCAGAAAATTAGACAAACACTAACATCATCAAAATCTTTTTTTTGCCAAAATTAAATTTAGAGATAATCCAAAAATACGATCAAGAAGTCCAATAAATTATTTATTATTGTTTTTTTCTCAGAAGATAAAAAATTTTTGATTTATTATTGCACAATATGAGTGAAATAGGTATATATTAATATATCCTGAATGATTTATATATTTAGACAATAAAAAACCGATTTATAAGGATCCAGTATCTGTAAAAGAAAGTTTTTTAAATTTTAGATAGAAGTAACTTTTGATATCGATGCAAATGGGATATTGAATGTATCAGCTGTGGAAACAGCTACTTCAAAACAAAATCATATTCAAATAAAGAATGACATGGGTCGCCTGACACCAGAACAAATTGATAAAATAATCGCCGACTCTGAAAAACATAAGGAAGAAGATGATCAGACCCGAGCGACGATTGCTGCTCGAAACGATCTAGAAGCTTATGTTTACCAACTTCAATCAATTGTTAGTATCAATATTTATTTTATCAAACAATCAAAGTCTAAACGTATTCCTTACTTTCTCTTGTCCTTTTAAAGGACTTAAAGTTATGAATAAGGACCATTTTTAGAAAAAGGATTCGAGTAAAGTCTTTTTGTTGTAGTAACATTTTTATGTCTTTCTGGCTTTTATTAAAGTTATTGGCCTATTTCAAAACTGATTTGGATAAAGTAATGATAATAATTATTAACTATAAGACAAAATTATACTTGAATTTACAGTGATGGTCATATTGTTATTGTATAGAAGAAGGCGCATGAGTCTTTTTACAAACACATTAAAAACAATTAAAATTTTGAAAAGTGGTATCGACTATTATACTTTTCTTGGAAAATTGTTTATACCTTCTATAGACTGAATTACATTAATATTGTATTCAAAACAACTAGTGGTGAACTACAGAATTTTCGAGCTTAAGAAGGCATATCTTCACTTCATCATCATCATAAGGTCGTCAGTTGGATACGTACCTCCACTCTTTCCTATCCTGAGTTAATCTTCGCATTTCCCTAAAACTAGAACAACCCACATCCTTAACTATTTGCGATCAGTAATCTAGTCTAGGTCTACCTCTACCCCTCCTAACTCCTGTTTTTGACTCTAATACTAGACCTTCATGCCTGAGAAGGACTCCTCGGTTTTCCTATTCTTTCTAATACCTCTTCATTTGTAACCTTTGCTATCCACGTTATCCTCATTATTCGCCTGTAATACCACATTTCGAACGCTTCTAACCTTTTCTTTTCCGCCGCGCCCACTGTCCATGTTTCGCACCCTTACAATGACGCGCTAACATACACCTTTAACAACCTTTTTCGAATTCCTAAATTACTCCTTCCGTCCTGACTTATCTGACTCCTTAGATATCTAAAATCAGCCACTTCTTCTAATTTTTCATCTCTTATCTTTATATTCGCTCTTTCCCTACTTTTTCTTCCCTTGTATACCAGTATTTTAGTTTTATTTTTATTTATTTTCGTCAGTACAGCTTCCATTTTACTTAAAGCTATCCCTAAGTCCTCCTTCATATTTGGGAAATATTTTGACACGTTTCCTCATCTTCAAACTAAATGTTGACGAAAAATGTGTTAGGATTTTTTTAGCATTAACTTATTGTCACAAAACTTATTGGAGTAATTAATTATACCTATTATTGTTATTATTAAATGGATTTTAATTAATTTAAGATGAACGACCCGCTGATATCACATCAGGTACGCGATTCTGATAAAATCCTAGTGAATAAAGAATGCTCAGAAGCAAGAGCGTGGCTTTCTGAACATAAAGATGCAACTGAAGAAGAAATAGTTAACCGAAAAAAAGACATTGAAAACAATTGCAAAACTGTAGCACTTCGTTTGTTTGCGCAAGCTGGAACCTTTTTGAACGCTGGAAGAGATCAGATTACTAACGATAGGCAATTCCCGCGGTAATATTTTAATACCATTGAATAAGGAGATGTATTTAACTATCTTTACGTCTATGTTATGAATATCTTTCCATACAATTATGTAAGTAAGTGTAAAATAAAGATTTTATTTCCAAAAGGATATTTTTTGCTGTGCTCCTGAAATTATTGAGAGATTGAAGGATTTTTTTAATCTTCGAGAAGTAAAAATTATGTCAAAATAGTCCTAGTATCTAAAGGTGCTAACGGTTTTCGAGTGTGATGCCGAATAGGTATTTTCTGGTATTATTTTTGTTCAAATATTTAAAACAATTTTTATCATAAAAAAGGCGCTCTTGAAATTATTAGGAGACGGAAAGGATTTATTATGCTTTGAGAAGTGATAATTATGTAAAAATGCACGTAAAATCTCATGGTGCTAACGTTTTCGGGTGCGGTGTCGAAATAAAAAAATTATTTAATCATAAATTTTTGGGGTATGGAAGATAGTTACTAACCCTCAGATAAAATCACGTATGCTCAGCTATTATTTTGCTTTAATTATTCATTTAAGAGGCCATCCCTTTTACCCTTTCGCTTTTACTCCACACACGAGTTTAATCCCTTTCGCCGGCTTTGGTTCTACCCTATTTACCTAAACAACGAATATATATACATACTTATAAGTATTATAATATAAAATAATATAAAAATTGAATTTATTGAATGGATTGAACTTCTTTTCCATGTTTTTTGTGTGTTTAACTAAAAATTCTTATTAAGTTACTGCTTTGAAGTATGTGGTAAAAGTATTTGTCTCTTCAAACAGAAACTAATACTTTGCTTCTTTTGTTTAGCATTTGTGAAAAATAATATTTAGCTGTTTTAGTTTTTGAATTTAATTTTTATTCATAAATAAATAATTAATGTAATTAATTT